ATGTATTCATGATCGATTATTATATTACAATGTATTCAGCTTTTTTAATTACGCACTTGCGGATGAACGCTAGACGGTTGGTTCGTGAATTTAACTCAAGAGGTCACTACGGTTGTGAATGTCGGTTTACTCCCATCTCTAAGACGGTGGGTTTTTACGTTCAATGTGTTCAGACTTCTAGAATTGATCTATAGAATTGGTGTAGCATGAAACATATGCAAGACCAAAGAGTGTAAACTTTTGGACCGGGTGTAACTGTATAAAAGTTGTTGTTGTTGTTGTTGATTGTGGTCTGCAAGTTATGTCTGAGGTTTCGTCTGCTACTGTCATCAAATGCCATGAGGTGACAGATAAAGTGCTGGTGTTGTTCTCACCACAGACATTATGTTCAACGTTTGAACGAAAAAATGGAACTATATCAGGCTCAAAATGGTGTTGACACAATGTGTTACATCAATCATGATTACAGTAAACAAATCTAGAATCCATCTCCGTAGATTACTGTATAGACGATAATCTTGCAATAATGGATTCATTTTATCCAGTTGACTTCGATATCATTTCAGTTTATTAAGCTAATTTGGATTTTTTTCCAGACTAGAAATACGTATTTCCTATGATTCAAATGATTGTCTTGATATCCCCCCTTGAATTCCTCTCAATTCCAATACGAAGTATCTGTATATGCAATATGAACTCGATATAAAGTATGCTTCGTCCAAAAAAGACATTTTCCATTTCAATCAATTTTGTTTATACAGAGTCTACATGAATTAAGTTTCACCTATAATTTAAAAAAATATGAATAATCAATTTCTTCTCAACGTCGGAGAAAATCATAAAATATTGAAATAACTGTCTCTGGGATCATGTGTGTACTTTTAAATTGAGATGCAAAGTAGAAAACTTTGATTTATCATGAATTCACGAAACCAACCATAAAGCAGACTGTTTCATAAAATAATCAATCAACTAATGACAGAAAACTCCTATATGGTGTTTGAATTTTCTTAATAATCCTATGAACGTTTGTTTGAAGGTAACATGTATGTGAATTTCTTGAACTTCTAATAATAACACGGATGATCTTCAAACAAGACTCAACTTCTGACGGAAGCACCTAACTCTTTCGAACGTTCGGAATAGATGAACACTTCAATCTTGTAGACCACTATTATAATATTCATGCAGTCATTGTTCACTGTGGTTTTGGCGTTGAATTTGGACATTATTACGCTTTGGTCAAAGACGAAAAGGATTGGTTTAAGTTTGACGATAGTCATGTCACGAAGTGTTCTGGCGATGTATTGAATTTATTGGAGCCTCTGGAGACACCCTACATTTTGTTTTATNACAATTGAAACGTTATGAAGTAACTTGACTTGAAATCTTTCAATTTCTATTTCCTTTCTTTGTTTGATTGTTCAATTTTTGTTTGTATTATATTTTATTGTGATTTCATTACATGGTTCGTTTTTGCTTAAAATAATTGTTATTTTCAGCTTTTCATTTCAATTTGCAATTCTATTGATTCTTTCAGAGATTTCAAATCATTTTATATAATAGTAGACAATGGAAATCGAAACTAATGAAATCCTATAGACGTTTTAGCATAGTACATTTATAATCAAACATCCAATAATATATTCAGTAGCATTCTTCTCTCTTTAATTCAAATTCATCGAATGGAAAGTTTTAGTTTCAAGAAAAAGATGAGTGAGTACTGAATTTTCAGCATCACAATCAAATGTATCAAGGGTAATTTATCATCAGAACATTTCCTTAATTATCAAGAATAGTTGACCCAATTGATGGGTTTATAATATAATATAAAGCCCTACATTTGTCTCTATATATAAGAACGTCTCCAATAAATAAAGTGTACATATCACATATTACTCTTGATTCAACATTTCCTTCAGATAGTCAATTGATACTTTGTTGCTGAAATTCCTTTCACTGCAAATTATGCGACCGTTGCAGAGCTCTCGTAAGCGATAAACCATTGTCGGATATACATATTTGCAACTGAACGCAGCTGCTCTGTGTTCAGATAAACAATTGTTGACGGACTCTTGTTTTCGAAGCCAATTACGATTTGTTTGGTTTATGCAATGACAGAGATAACTTTACGAGACGACACCGATATGGCACAAATCAAACTCCACTTCTTTGAAAATTAAATTTCGATGATGATAATGATAGAAGCGATTGGGCAGTTTTGAAAAAAGAATAACTACAATAATGTTTGAGAATAAAAAATAATCAGGTAAAATTTATGATGCACTGTTTGGAACCTTTGGTGTAGTGATGAATATTACTGGAGTTTTTCCCCTAGTATGCTCTTTCGTATAGGTCCGTCATCGTTATTCATAATATTATTGTGTTTACTTATTTCTACACTCTCGTAGNTTCTAGTTTTAATCTTCCTCTTTGAAGATGATCACTTGGTGATCGAAACACGTGTCGAGGTGTTAAAAATAACGATTTGGTGTTGGGAAAAAACTCCAGTAATATTCATTTGGAACAAGAAACAAGAAGAAAACATTGGGTGCCAAATCAGGACTATACGGGGGATGAGTCATCAATTCGATGTTTTGACTGCTCAAAAATTCACCTGTTTGACGAGATGTCGCATTGTCGCATTGTCATGATGGAGACTGATTCGTTCTCGGTGGTTAGTTTTACGAATTTCTTCGAAGACTTTCGGCAAACAAATGGTCGTCTACCACTCAGAATTGACGTTCTACGTTGCTCAAGCGGAACAGTGGCAACATGATCTATCCGGCCGAAGAAACAGGCGACCATTTGCTTTGCTGTGCTTTTTCCACGAACAACTTTTGTTGGATTCGGCTAGTCTTAGAATACCCACACTGTCGATTGCTGTTTTGTTTTCGGCTCATACATATATATCCATAATGCGTCACCTGTCACCATTTTTACACGTCTTTTGAAGCACCACGGTCGTTTTTGATAATTTCCTTACACCACTTGACGCGAGTCTTATTTTGAGCGATTGATAAATTATGGGGTATCTAACGAGAACATTTTTTTTACAACTCAGTGTTCATGCAAAATCGAAATTATTGAAGTGGAACTAATGTGCAAGGATGCCTCTCTCTATCTCACAATATGTCACATGACACGATTGAATTAACTATACCAGCGTTATGTTGTGGTTTTTGATGGTGCTTTAACGCCATACAAAAAACTGAGTCCATCGACACATTCCCGTTGAGATAATTCACGTCGAAAGTTGTGAAAAATGATCTAACAAAAACCTTTTCTCGAAATTTCCATTTTTTTGGTCAAATTGATTTTCTAAACTCACTGTAAACAAAACAAATAACACGTCAAAACGTTGTGAATACGTTCATGCTGAAAAATGTTGAACTTACAACATTAATTGAAAATCAATCTAAAAAAAATCCATGGCTATACTTTTTTGTAATGATAGAATCAGAGAAGAATTGCAGGCATCTTCGAACATTAGTATGACTAATGAGATTATTTCTTTCAGAACATCCATCACGGAGTACGTCACGTCAAAGTTGTGAATTGGCTATGCTAATTTGAAAATGATGTACCCCCAGAAAAAAATTCTAAATCAAAGCACAAAGAAAGAACTATGTGATTCAATTGTTCTCTGACACATGAACTTCTGTGATAGTATACAGAGTGGTCCAACGAAAAGTATGCACCTTGCTTTTTTTGTAACTTAACACAAAAATGCTAGGACAGATCAATTTTTCGTTTGAGGGGGACACATTTAGATGTATTTTTCTACCTGCGCCTTCAACCCCCAAGCGAGGGTGAGTAACAACCCTAAAATTTTAAATGGAAAGTGGGGTCTAGTAATATATCATTTGAAAGGGCACAAAATTATCTTTCCAATGATACCTAATTTGTTGTATTTCACTCAAACATGTAGGTATTATGAAGAAAAACAACTACAACTCAGTACTTTGAAATGTCTTAGTAGAATCCTACGTCAGCAAGTGCTGAAAATGTGACCCAATTGCTTCCAGACAATAATACTGTTGAAGAGTTTGTTGTAAAGTGTTTTGTGACTTCGTCGTATTCTCAACTTAGTGATTTTGAGAGAGGACGAATTGTTGGCTTACGTGAGGCAGGTTTTTCAGTTAGAGAAATTTCAGAAAGAACCAATCGATATTTGCGTACAGTAACTCTTGAAAAATCACCACTGGTCGGGGTCATAAATATATTCACAAAAGATCAACCACTTGGGCCCTTGTCTTAATACATGAAAGTCTTAACAATGAGTACCTACTCGAAACCTCCCAAGTGGCGCCTGTCTTTCTAAATATCCATATGTTTTTCGGCAATAAACTTCGGTTCAAGGGATGAGAGCCTTTCAATAATATGCGATGAAAAAATACAAGAATCCTGAGTAAAAATTAAAATGAAAGAAATAACATGAAAAACCCAAGCAGGTGGATATTTTGTACGACTGCTCGATAATAGAGTTATGAAAAGTTAATTTCCCAACANCCAAGGACTCCAATAATCAGAACAATCATCTCAACAGAGAGGTATGGATAGAGTCTACGGAGAGAGAAAATCATGATAGTTCATCCCTTTTTCCTCCTCTTTTCGGACGATATTTGACTCACCAGGAGCTGAAAATTCCACAACAAATATCGTCTTGCTCTGATGGTCGAGAAGAACTACATCAGGATTAATGGCTTGTATAATCCAATTTGTATAGAATACATTATTCTTTCTAGTGTGGCATCCACAAGCGGTATGGAGAACATGTTTGCTAATAGCAATAATTCGTAGAATCAATAACATCAATCCAGTGATTGAAATGGGGTTATTGTTATACATGCAAAACTTTTTTCTAATTGTATCTTGATAACATCTATGGATTATCTATATTTTATCTCTTTGAACATATTGAACTAAAAGTTTCGAAACCAAACTCTTCGTATTTCAACAACTGACAAAATACATTTTTTTCAATGAGAAAGACTTACCTCCATAATTTTCCCAAAGTCTTGGAAAGTTCCGCATTGTGGAGTTGTGGATACTGATCGGCTAACTTTCTTCTGGCTGCTTGTGCCCACACCATGAATGCATTCATGGGCCTTTTAACGTGTAGTTTTCTTTTGTCTGACGCAGCTCTGTAAGAAAACGTATAGATGAAGCTTCATTGAACTTTTCCGACATATTTCATTCGATAAATGATACAATTTTCTGTCAAAAATATTCCTGTTCCATTTCAATGAACAAGATTTATTAAATGACACATACAGTGTATGCGATTTCAAACTGCAACACCCTGTTATTATAGAACCCATGAACCGAATTAGAAAAATGATAATTTCCATAGCTTACTATGACCTGTAAAATGAGTCGAACTATCGAGACGTACTGTTAATTTTTTTATCGGAAAGGTGGATACTTCATTCGATATGGGCATATTTCGAATATCTAGATTTCAAGATTTCAAGTTTCAGCCCAATATATCATACAGGGTGTTAGTTTTATGATGACAAATTTACAAATCCATGATTTTTTAACTGACCCTGTATGAAAGTCTATGAACTTCACAGAAAAGATGAAGTAACCATTGAATGAATTAATACTTCGCATACTCAGATACGAAGTCACATAGGTTGTAATCGTTCCATGTTTTTGATTTCAGAAAAATTACCACCAACAGAAATAAATTAAATGATAAATGGAACGGTTTTTTCAGATATTGGCTCTCCAACAGATCCTCCTTCAAGCCCTATACATTTTTCATAACGTGGTCTGAAATTCCGGCGGATCTTTTTCAATTGGAATTGGCCTGTTGTTATTTCACCACACTTTTGCATTATCATCTCTTTCANGATTTTTGTGAATGAACTGCAAAACGATGAATATAAAAATGTCAACAGTCGATTACAGAAAGTTGAAACTTTGACATCTTTTCAAATACCTCATTCGTTTTATTTACCAAACAAAAGACGTAACTGAACCACTTCAAAAGCGCCAACCGATAGGTGTGAATTTCGTGTTGAGACTGTCAAGTAATGTAGAATAAACCAGAAATTGAAGCTAAGTGTATTAGTACACTATATACTCTGAAAATCAATTTACTCAAACTGTTTTTCAATTGGTGCTAACTAAAGTTCTTGCAGGATTGTAAATAGTGATGTTGAGTCATGGAAGTCAAATTAGCACAAATTTATGAAATTTAGAAATTGAAGGAGCATTTCTTTGTGAAGAATGAAGTAAGATGTTCTTTATACAATAAGAAATGATAGGAAGGAAATTTAAGGCTGAGGGATGTATTTTTTGTATATTAGGTGCTACGATATACATAATTATACATGATACTTTAGGTACGATTCTTACTTCTTCTGGTGGGACACCAAAATAAAGGCAGAACTGAATGATGCCCTTGGAACTTTTACTACAGTTAAAATATTACACACTACTTGAGCTCACTGAAATGTACTCATATTGAATATTACGTGTCCAAAATTCATGATGCTAATAATCAAATTGTTTCATTTTTGATAATTTTTTTGGTTTACAAGAAATTTGATAAAAAAAATACGTACTGCTTTGTAAGTCAGTTTTTTGGTATAAATTGTCGTCAAATTTTTTTTGAAATAATGGCCTTTTATTTTATGTAACTAACATTTTTTCAGTACATGATTTTCATAATTCCTCAAATCAAACAATCATTCAAAATGAAACACAATCTAAATGCTCTTCCCGTGGCTTCACGCCCTAGCAATTACCAAAGTATAAGTGTAGTATCGAAAGTTATTGAAAATTCACTTCAAATTTGTGCATTTGGATTGAACATTTTTCACTACTCTCTAATTTACTGAAAAATCCTTAACTTCAGTCCCATTAAAAAACACTACAGCCATTAATAGAGAAGAAACAATCCAAAATGAACTAACCTAGGACATTATTCATTCTGAAAACCAGGGTTGCCAAACGTTCCGGATTTTGAGGGACAGTCCCTTAATTTATACTTTTGTCCCGCGTTCCGGTAAACTTTGATAAGAGACGGCAAACGGACAAATTTATTTGAAGGGACAAATTTATTTGATGAAACTAAATTTAAACACCAAATATTTGATGAATCGTCTGTCTGTCCACGCCACACCGCACCAGCATGTAGTGTGTACAGCCTTTAGGGTGTAATGGCGCATGGTCTGGCGTCTGCTCTGCTGTCCAGGCTAATCATCAGTGTCTGCATGCAGTAAGTGTCAGCATTTTCAGCTGACAATAATAACGCCAATATCGGTAAAGAACGATCTGCATACCTTCTCCAAGAGCAAAACAAAAACGTTTTAAAATGTGGTTGTTTAGCTCATGTGGTTAACAAAGCATTTTGTAAAGCTCTTGACACTTTGGACTTTGTAGAAAGTATCGTATTGAAAATATATTCTCATTTTTCACGGTCATCTGTTAGAAGGACTGAACTCAAGTATTTTTTGAATTTTTTGACTTAGAATTTAAAGAAGTGTTGAAGCACATTCCTACACGATGGCTTAGCCTGGTTCCTGCTATTGATTGTCTAATTAAGACTTGGCCTGCCTTGATGTCTTAAAAGTGTCAGTCAAGTGTCTTAAAAGATTGTTGCTTTTAAATGAATAAAGCACATCGCAATAGTTTTTCTTGAAAATCACGACTTTGAATTTCGAAATTTCGACTTTAATTTCAAAATTTCGAATTTTATCTCGAAATTTCGACTTTAATCTCGTAATTTCGAGATTAAAGTCGAAATTCCGAGTTTAAAGTCGAAATTTCGAGTTTAAAGTAGTAATTTCGAAATTACGGAATTAAAGTCGAAATTTCGAGATAAAAGTCAAAATTTTGAGATTAAAGTCGAAATTTCGAGATAAAAGTAGAAATTTTGAGATTAAAGTCGAAATTTCGAGATAAAAGTCGAAATTTCGAGATTCAAAGTCGTAATTTTCAAGAAACAAATAATGTGGCTCTTCTGCGCTTCCGTAGAAATTCGATGAAAACAAAAAAAAAGTTTTTGCGGTGAATTCACGATGTTTTTGGAAACAGCAGTAAAGTAATTGAAGAAATGGTTTGATTTCACTAATGCCAATCCCCTATTTATTTTAAGAACAATGGTCTTAAATCAAAATCTTCAATTCAATGACTTGACCTCTATCGTCGAATAGTTGGAGCTTGATGATAGGGTATATCTAGACGATTTATACGACGAATTTTGCCAGTACACTGCATCAACATCCTTGTAGCGGAAAAGGAAATGAGCGTGGGAATACTATTTCAAAAGAGTCACGAGCTGCCAAATATGAAAAAAATAGTCAGTGCAGTAAATTCAAGCAGTAAATACATTTTTCTGAAGAAATAAACGATGATTAATTTGCAATGGAATTAATCTGTAAGGAAGATTTTTTTCGAAAGAAGAAGAAGCTATTGATCTAAATTAATAATTTAAGAAACTATGTTGATTGATATAAATTTCAAATGAATATTTCATCTTTCACAAAAATAATATTTTATAAAACCTTCAAAACCAAAGAAATATATGTTAAGTAGGCCACTATGTCATTTGTACCCCCGGTCTTCAATAGACTTGAGCACCGTAAACACGTCCCTTATTCTTATCATCACAATTTGGGAACCCTGCTGAAAACTTCTCATACAGTGTCCTAGGAATACAATGTCTATACCCATTATTACAATCATGTCCTATGTGCTATGTGTTGCATCATATATCTTTTCACCATTCATTTTGTGAAGCACTCGTTTCTTCCTGAATCACGTCAATTTTTTTTTTTCGTTTCCTTCAGTTGTATTCAAAATACTCTGATGGGTAACGAAATTGTAACGAAATTTTGAAATTTACTATTTCCTATAAAATTAGACAACAAATTTGTAATAACGCTATGATACCCGTAAAAGCAAAGGACAAAACGACTAGGAACATTAATGATATCTTTAGAACCAATTGTCACCCGTGGAACTCATCAAACTCATTTGTTTACATTCTACCCACACGCGCGAGTTATAAAATATACATCTGAACAACAGGACGATAAAATGCTGAAAAATATGGTTTTCATTGTCGGCAAAAAGTGAGCACGCGAGAAAGAAATGTACCAACAAACGTCAGCTTTTGAAAAGACTCTTTGTTTGGTCACATAGTGGCTAAAAACATGCCAACACAGCACGACGATGATAGAGACTGAAATTATTGCTTATCCATGAAAGTCAGTAATTCAAAGATATAGAAAGATACACAAATTTCATCAAAACATTTCAGAAGTATGCAAGAAAAGTTTCATCTATCGCCATTTGGAAAAATCCGTGAAAAAATCGGCACTTTCTCTGTACTTTCATTTGTAGCCTATTTTTTTATATTTTAGCTAGAGAAGAGCTAATATTTCACAATCCATTCCTGAATTTTTTTCTAGGACCATTGTGTGTGTAGATATTCACATTCAAGAAAATAAAAAATCGCACCATGCAGGAATTTGGCAGTGTTAACTTTGGCAGGCTTCACTTCAATTATAGCCTTTTTTAGGGAAGCAATATTCAAAACGCATATACTTTCTAACAAAAAAATGATAAAGGGAATATTATTCTCTTGCTATCATGACGCTGCGAAATCACTACTTCACATTTTTTCTTGAATTTGTGTATACCAATCTTCTTCTATCTCTCCTACAAGTACAATGATAAGGGCTGTATCTTGTTCACTTCTGCACGCATTATCGCCCTGCGACATCACTTCAAACGTTTTGGGTTTGGAAAGACTGAATACGGAAAAATGCATCATTGCTGGAGCAAAGGGAAAAGTTTAGGGACCCAGCTGCTACTCTCCAAGGAATTTCAGAAGCAGGAAAGAAAATTCCTGTATGGTGGCAGACAACAGCCGTTTTTGCTCCCTCAGTTACTGAAAATTCAAAACCAGTAACACCAAGCTCAATCTGACTAAATTACCTTCAGTCGCTGACGCAGCATTCAACTTCCTAAGGACATACCACCAGATTATGGAATCGATGGGGATTGTGTGAGAAAACTTGAAGTCTGAGGGCTGGGGTACCATCAAGATGGTTTCTCATTGCTATCTCGAGCAGATGCACAACTGGCTGGCGTGTGTTAATAAAAATCGGACTTCAATATTTTG